GGGGGGGGGGGGCACTGATTTGTACGAAATTCTTTATGTTTTCGTAATACGGTCGCTGTGTTTGGGCGGGTGAGGTGGGTGGGCGCCAAGATTGAGAAATCGCACAAGGCGCCGAGAAGCATGGATTCGGCTCTGCATGCATCTATGTAATGAACTGATATAATATGTCACGTATACTGAGATTTGGTTTACAACCAATGCAGCAGGGCAATTATATATTTAAAAAATAGCCGAAAGTTAAAAAAAAACAAAAAAACAACATCAGTATAAATTATACTATAATGGTCTATGTTGTTATTGTGAGAGTTATATGACATTCGAGAGAGATTTGCTGAAAATTAATTTTCTAAGAGATCATTTCATTGCTCTATGCTATTTGAGTCTTGTCCTTGATTTCATACGGTTAAAAATGTCATCAATCACTGAGCTGACACAAGAGTGCCGCCCCTTTGGCTATCCAGTAGTCTTGTGTGTTGTTGGAAGGAAGATAGACTGCAACAACGTAGTTGGTAGAATGACCTGTTGAGGAAAGGGGGGTGGGGAAGAAAAGAAAGAAACGATAGACTTCTTTTCAAATAAGACACAGTGGCGTAGCAAGGGTTACGGCCAATGCACCCCCCCCCCCGCTCCCCCCTGCTCCCCCCGTCTCCACGAACAAATATTCTGCAGATGGTTGACATTGCCATCACTCCATACAAAGAGCCCCCCCCCTCCGGCGACACCTTTTTCTATATATATGAAGGAGCGGCATTTTCTGACAACTGCAGAGATTTATGTAGGGAGATGGCGGCAAAGATCTTGCACAGCCCCGCGGGCGGCACCAACCCTAGCCATGCAACTGTCCGCGGCTCCTTTTCTACGCCACTGTTAAGACTAACTGAGGTATTCTTGAAAGAAAGAGAGAATTGATGTGGCTCATCCTTTACAGAAAAACAACCCCATCCGAACCCTCCATTCCCCCCCTCCACCCACCCCCACCCCACCCGTGTCCCCGTTTAAATAAAAGAAGGGGAAATTAACCTCTGGATCATGAGGTTTCTTGTCAGTGTTTATCGAATGTAACCAAACATTAACGAAATGTCATCTTTACCAGTAGTTGATAGGGTGCCGGCCCTGGCTGCCGTTTTGTACAGCGGGGCAGTGTACAGTAAGGGGTCAGGCTCGTAGTCCATCCTGGGGTCCATGTGCATGACTGGAAGGCTGATAAGTCGTTAAAGAATGGCATATTTTTAAGGAGTATGGTACCTTTTTTCAATTATTATTATTTTTTTCTTCGAATTCTGCGCAAACAGGTAGCCTGTTATTAAAAGCTCTACACACGTTTTTCAAAGGAGACCCGCTGATCTCATTGGGGAATACGGTAGCCAACTTTTCACAAGTGCGTTTTGATTGATAAAGCTAGTTAATCGAAAACATTCAGTTTTTCTTAGATGAAAAATTTAAATCTACACTAACTAACACACATATTCTGTTGAGGGTTTGAGATAACTCTCTTATAACCCCGGCTAGTACATTGGCAATCAGCTCCATCTGCTAAGCTGTGTCATATGACAATGTCTTCACGCAGGGATCTCCCCGCCGCTCTGGCCTCCCCCGGAAACATCTAGTGATGGGCACTTGGCCAACGGATGCGCTGGAGCTTCTGGAGTAATGCCGGCAAGTAGGGTCCCTGTTAAATCTTCACTAAGTTTTATCGACCTGGACTCACTAACTAATAATAATCATGAACTAAGACAGCGTTTCAAGAATAAGTTTGGCGAAGCTGTGGAGAAGTTCCGAAAATGGACCTTGGATGAGTGCCAGATTTAAAAAAAAAAAATATATGTTCTCCATTTGACCATACATATTAATGTTGTGCGCACCGGCAAAGCAAAAGTTCGCGGGTCGGTGCCTGTCCGTGGATCAGCATTGGGAGAACGCTGAGCGACATCATTATAGTAACTATAGTAACTGTTGTTAACACTTTAAATCTAACCCGACTATTATATCCACCAACGCTCACTGTCATTTTGGTAAAACCTTGAATCTACATCTTAGTATATGGGAAGAAGACTCACGGTGAGTTCATCTGACCCTTGATTTGATCCCCGACAGTCATGTGTTCCCAGTCCCAGGCGAAGCCGTCCATGAACAGGCCGTGGACTAGAACGCCGTCATCAGGGGCGGTCACCTAATGGGACAAGAGGTATAGACCGTCAAGGATTGCACAGCTTGTAAGCTCACACAGCCAATCACAGATGGCGGGGAGGGAAGATAAGATTTAAATGTTTGGGTTTTTTAAAAACCCAGGCTGGGGCAGCGTTTCTCAAGCTGTGGGTCGCGACGTCCTTGGGGGTTACCAGACCATTTATTAGGTGTCGATCGAGAATTAAAAAAAAAAATCTGAGTTGGAGTAAAACTGTAGGCAATGATAATTTTTTGCATCACTTTTTGTGGTTAAGATATAAATATATAAATATGGACAGTTACCGCACTCAATGCCGACCTTAGAAGGGTTTGTGCTATAGGCAAGACCAAAAAATGCCGACTCTTATCAATCATAAATGTTGACCAGTCGTCTTTTTTTTTTTACTACTTTTTCAGTTTTCTATGAAACTATTATATTCATTTTTTAAGCATTATTCCGAATGACGAAAACATGTAATTAATATGTTTATTATAGCACACGATAGAAGACATTTCCAGTTAAAAATCTACCAACTCATGCCAATTTAGCACTATACTTTCTCGTGTCCATTTAGCACTCTACTAACTCGTGTCCATTTAGCACTCTACTAACTGTGTCGATTTGGCCGTTTCTCTATTTCTAGGAGCAATACTGATTGTAGGTCGCCGCAACTCGGCAAATGTTGTCAAAGGATCTCAGAACTAAAAAGTTTGAGA